TGAAGCTGGCGGCTTGTGAAGGCGGCGTTTTTCCTCTCCAGAAGGGAGTCTCTGCCTCTTCTACCTCAGTTAGGATTGTCCGTTGTTGCAGGAGTTCCTCTCATCCAGTTTTCAGTTCTATCTCAGGGGTAATTTTTCCACGAGTAGCTGTAAATTGGCTGTGTCCACGGGAGGAGGTGAGTTCAGAGTCTGCCTACGCCGCCATCTTGACTTCTCTCTATCCCCAAAGTCTTTCTGTGTTTAGGATTATTACCCTAGACAGTCCCAGAAGTAGAATCACACACAGCCCAATAACAACAGGGAAGAGTTCCCCTTTTGTTCTCACCAGCATGGGACTTCAACACGCTCTTAAACATGAGCCAATTTGATAGAGAGAAGAAAACAGCATCGCAGTATGCCCTAACGTGCATTTCTCTGATCACTGGTGAGGCTGATCAATTGCCCTCATTTTGTAAATTGGCTTTTCATGTCTTTTGCCTGTTAATCTTCCAGGGCCTTACATACTCTTTGGGCATAGCCTTCCCAGTAGAAGAATCTAACTCAATATGTACAAGAAGTGGTTTTCTTAAACCACAAAATATATAGTTCAATGTCAAAGATCAGCAGAGAGAAATAATTTAATCCTCCCATTCACTACTGCAAAAATCAAGTGCCTAACAGGAAAACACCTGCCAATTAAATGAAGACATCAGATGAAGATAAAACGTATGAAAGACTTCAGATTTCTGGATAACTCTTAATCTTGAAAATTATGCCGTTTAAGAAGAATAAACATTTCCTGAATCTTACCTGCAGCATAACAACATTGTCACCTTCAAAAGTTACAAACACATCTGTGTCACATTTTAAGCCTGCAAGTCGGTTCTCCATCATGTAACCCTGTTGCAAAAAAAAAAAAAAAAGAATAGAAACACATTTTAACTTTGCAACCCCATCACTAAAAAGGACTAACATTTTCTTCAAAGTTAAAAAATATACAGAAAATCGAAAAGAAGAAAATAACCATATTTCTCCTACCCAGAAGAACCAGTCTAAGAATTTTGATTCATCACATTAGCTTTTGGTGCATAAATACTATTTTGGGTGTTGCCTTCATTAGTAGTACAAACATTTGAAAATAGTCACATTTTTCCAAAATATTTCAACAAATTACACTGATTTTTTTCCTCTCTCTCTCCCAAATCTTATGAATTCTAATAAATGTGAAGGTATTAGCAATTACACCTGTAATATGCAGGAGAATGATGCCCCACCTCCAACCCCCAAAAACCCCTTTAAAATTAGCAAATATACCTATGATTCTTGGGAGATAACATAGAAATCCTAAATTGCCACTCTGCATCTTAATATCATTAAATACTCTGCATCATAAATTCACACTCCAGCTTCCGGCTCGTTTTTTTCCTTTTTCACTTCCTGAAATCCTTATTTAAATGGCAGTCACCTGCTGCTCCTTTTCAAACTGTTGATAGTGTTTCTGCACACAAACTTGGAGAATCCGCCACTCAAGAGGAAGGCGACCAGCCCCAGGCAAACTTGAAGGGAGCAAAGTCTGCCTTTGGCCTCAGGCTCTTCCCCTCCTGGAGGCCCCTGCGCTCTGTGTCTTCCAGCTCATTGTTCTCCCCATTAAATCTTCAGAACCTTTCCCACTCTCAGAATCTGCTTGCACAAATCAATCCTGCCTAAGTAAGTAACATCGGCTGTGACTGTCCTGTTACTTCTCCCAGGAGGATTTGCATTGAGCACTTTAGCAGTGCCAGGGAACGACAAGATTTAGCTCCTGTAAGAATGTTCAAGCCACACAGGGTACGGAACAGAAGGGTGCTCCTAGGAGCAGCCACATACTCCAACTCCAGGCACTGTTAATGCCTGGGGGGACCTACTTCATTTCGGAAAACAGTCACTAGAGTCACAGAAGCCAGCACTTCTGGGGTACCGCTGCCTGCAGAGCCCTCAAGTCCTGTGAGCATGCGCTCCTGCCCTGAGAGCCAGCCTCTGACGCCCCTCCACTTCCCCTTTCCTCCTCAGCATCACGGCGGTCTGGGCAGTCCAACTGGAAAGTGTTGTGGGAGATCAAGATTTGGCCACCCTGAAATATATCTCTTTACCTTGATTGTTTTCTCTGAGGGACATTTGACCTCCCCCACTAACTGC